AGTGCACATGCCCTATAGCAAAAACCTCTCCAAGAAAAAAACAGAACAACATAGAGGCTGAGTGGGAGCTGGGGAAAGCCAGGGGACACGAGGACAGGACGGGGACAGAGGACCAGATAAGTAGGAACTTAAGGCTAAGGTGAGGACATTGGATGGCTCTGAGCAAGGCGGGTGCCCAGAACATTCTGAGCAGAGGGGCTATGTTCAGATCTGAGTTTATTCACTGCTGTTACTTGGGACTGTTCTACACTCAGGACAGGGTGTGGCACAGGGCAGAGCCACCTCTCCAGGAGAAAGCACTGTCCTAAGGGCAAGAACCCTTGGAGCTTCAAGGGGTAGGACTTGCCCTGGGTCATGCTGAGAAGGGCAGGCTGGGTCCTTCTGGGTGCAGCCTCAGTTTTCGAGATTGAAAAGGGATCCCGAGTACCCACTGCGGGTACTGTGTGCGTACAGGAGCCTGTGTGTGTACAGTCCTGGCAATATGAGTGCTAGGAACAACCTGGCTGTCACTACTGGGGAAGTAATGCCGAGATGCTGGGGCTGGGCCACCACCTGGGAGGGCAGTTGATGCAGGCCTTACCTGACAAAGTCACCGTCAGCCATGCCATACGTTGTGGCCTGTTTGTTGAGATCTGCCACCTGCTCCTGGTTCAACTCATCCACGTCCACCTCCACGTCTGCACCAAGAGAAAGGCTGTCAGGAGCCAAAGCCAAGAGAGAGGGCAGGGGAAAGGGGCATTGGAGGTGTGGGCAGGCAAGGGCACCGGCCAGTCGTCCTCAGGGAGGCAGTACATCAAGTCGGCCTCCTCTCGGCATCCCCAAGGCTGGCACAGCACATGGTGGGGGCCAGGAATGGATTGTGTAGAGTGTGTGTGTGGAGGAAGGGAGGGCTGAGATGGTGGAAGGAGAGGCATGAGAAGGCGTGAACAGGACTGTGGGTGTTGAGAGGAAGAGCAAAGTGGGCCTTGGCAAGTGAGGGTGTCAAGGTGTCAAGGAGCTGTGATGAAGGGGGACGGGGGACGGGCAACGCAGGGCTCTTCTTGAGCCGGCTGGCACAGCAAGAGCCAGCATAAGGAAGGAAAGATGGGGCGGGAGGGCCTGACGGTGGGTGTTTGGGCAGGAGGTGCTGGCAGAGCGGGGGATGGCGGGCCAGCTGCTTTGGGGATGAGGATGGCTGTGCAAAAGGATGGCGCTGGCTTTCCAGAGCAGAGGAAGAGAGCAGAAGGGAGAGGCAGAGAGGCCTCTGCCCCAGTGGCAGAGGACAGAGCCAGTACCTAAGTGGAGAAAACATCACACAAACAGTGCCCTAGAAACGAGAAACGAGAGCGAGAGGAATGAGCACGAGCCAGGGCACAGAGGACATTAGTGAGCCGGGTGGCAGGAGGTTGGAGTGCCCTGGAGCAGGGGAGGGAGAGAGACGGGGCTCATAAGCGCAGGGTGCCCCACAGAGGGTGAGGGACAAGACACGAAAGATGCCCAGGGACTGCGAGTGGGGAGGGCAGAGAGGGGACCCCACCGATGTCGGGGATGACCTCATCTTCGTCCGAGTTGCTCTCCTCCTCGGCTGGTGACTCCTCCTCCTCTGGTTTCTCCACCACCTTTTCTACCTCAGCCACCGTGCTGTCTTCATAGGTGTAACCAATAGAGACCTTCTTCTCTGCCAGCCTGGGATAGGAAAGCCCGTAAGGCAAAGTGATGCCGGCAGGGAGGGCCAGCACAGGCCCCGCACAGTGCCTCTTCAGGTCCCTTGGCCCCCTGGCCTCAGTCCTCTGCTCCACCTCACACCAACAACTCCCTCCCCTTCCACATCTCAGCTGCAATGTCCCGTCCTTTAGGATGTAGTCCTTGACCCGCTCTTCACCCTGGGCTGGCTCAGGCACTGTCCTGAGCTCCCTAGCCTTGCCCATGTTGAGCCATTACTATTGGGGACAGGTCTGCCTACCCATGGGGACAAGGCCCAGAACAGAGGAGGGTCTAGTTAAAGGCCACTGGCACCTCATCTAGTAGTATGCCCTGACAACGTCCCAGTGTCAAGAAGTTCCTGTTTACTCCCTTGATAACCTTCAGGTGGAGGAAAGCAGCAAGACAAGGCCTCAAAGCAGGAGCCTTGGGAGCACCAGGGACAGAATCCCTGAAGGAGGCACCTAGCCCTGAGCCAGAGCTCTAGGACCACCGTGGAACAGATGGAAGCCCAGATGCCCTGGGGAGCACGGCAGGTTAACCCTGGCAGAAGGAACAGTGCATGCAAAGGCAGAGACGGGTGAAGAGAGAAGGATCCTGCTCAGCTGCTGTCAGAGGTAGCAGCACGGGATGTTCTGCTCCAGAGGCTGCTCCAGGATGAGGCCCTGCAGTCTTTCAGCCACTGCTCAAGAGGCACAGTTCTGAGAAGCTTGTCCCCAGACTGACATCAGTCACTGCCCACTGTGAGCTCTTAACACAGCAGGCATGGGACAAGAGCTACCAAGCTTGGTCCCTTGGACTCCTCACAGCTCCAGGCAGTGGGACTCCTGTTGCCCCGTTTTACAGAAGAGCAGAGGGAACCCAGAAAGTCCTCACTCAGGGTCTCCCAGCCAGGAGTCAATCCCAGGGCTGTCTCATAGGACCCGCTCGTCCTCCCACTACACAAGTTGAAATGCAACACAGAGCTTTCAACAAATCCTGCCCCTCCAGCCCCTGTCTCCTACTCTAAACATTAACTGAGCACCTACTGTGTAGCAAGCACCATCCTGGCTCTGAGGAGACCATGGCAGACAGGATGGAAAACACTCACTCATGGGACCAGCAGTTAGCGTAATGGCTATGTTGCTGGACTCCCATGTAGTCGACCGTGGTTCGAGTCCCGGACCTGGCGGCTTAAACTCACGCCAGGCATGTGTGCGTCTATGCCCAAGATCCCAAGAGGAGAACGGAGAAGGGACTGCGGCGTGGCCATCCCCCCTGGGGGGGGTGATTTCTCGCTTTCTGTCTTTCTGGAGCGCGTAAGCGCCCTATAGCAAAAACTCCCCAAAAAAAGAAAAAAAAAAAAAAAAAAACCACTCACTCAGGGAAGGCCCTCTGCCTCCCTCAACCCTGCTGCACCCAGACCCCAACTCACTTCTTCTTCTCATCCTCACTGGGTCTTTGGAGGCCTCCGTACAACTCATCGATATAGATCTGGTACAGGCACTGCTCCTCTGAGACTGCAGCAAGCAAGAGACACATGGTCAGTGTAGGCTGGGGACACAAGAACGCAGAGGGGAGCAGGAGGGCAGCTTGGGACCAAGTCGCCAGGTCCAGATAACCCTGACCACATGTGGTGGGGCACAAGCAGCTGCAGTGGAGCCCTATCCATACCACTTCCTTGCCATGTTGACTTTGCTCAAGTGACTGACCTCTGTGCCTCAGTTTCCTTTTCTGTAAAACGAGACCACTGGCAGAGCGAGTCCTCAGTGCCTAGGCACTGCTATGATCACTGGCAGAGGCCCTCAGGACCCTTCAGAACTCTAAAGCTGCTCTCAAGTGGTGGGGTCACTTGGATCCTACAGGCCACTTTATCGTGTCCCTTGATGGTTCAGTTTAATGAAGAGTGGTTTGGGTGCCAGCAGTTGGCATAATGGCTATGGCGCTGGACTTCCATGTAGTCAACTACGGTTCGAGTTCTGGACCCAGTGGCTTAAACTCTCACTGGGCCTATGTGCGTGTGTGCCCAAGATCCTAAGGGGAGAATGGAGGAGAAGGGAGTGTGGCGTGATCATCCCCCCTGGGGGGTGTTTTCTCATTTTCTGTCTGTCTTTCTGGTACATGCACATGTCCTATAGCAAAACAAAAACAAAAACTCTCAAAAATTAATTAGTTAATTAATTTTAAAAATGAAGAGTGGTTTGGGATGATCTGGGCTCACCTTCACCCCAACACCCAGCACAGGGAGCTCAATAAGGTCCTAGGGCCTTCCCTAATCTTCTCTGTCCCTAACTCACTGTAGGACCCTGGGTGAGTCCCCTTCCTTCCTCTGTGGGCCTTGGCTTTCCTGTGGCATGAGGTCAACAGTCTGGGCAAGCCTGGAGGTGCCAAGGCACAGCCCTCCCTTGCTCTAGCAAACAGCCCGATTCCTGCCCAGGAGAGAGCCCTGGCAATCTCACTTCACATAAGCTACCTCGCACGCCCTACCCCAGCCACAGGCCTTCCTGTTCCTCCAGTTGCCTGCCTCCCCCTCATAGGGCCTCTGGGCGCACTGTTCTCCCAGCCTGGGCTCCTGCGGCCTGCCATCCCCTCACTGGGGAGCTCCTATCCACCTTGCATGGACTGGCCTCACTCAAGAACCTCTGTCCTAGTTTTCTCAGAGAACAGTATGCCGTCCTAACACTGCCTTAGTTTCTAAGTACCGTAGCTGACGTGAATATGTGGCTGCTTGTCCTCTCCTCCAAGTCCCCTGATTCAGAATAGCTGCTGACACATCGAGGTGCTCAGTAACTTTTTGTGGGAGTGAATGAATGGAGAGACAGAAGGAAAATCTTGGCTCTCATATCAACAATCCACATGGCCTCAGATGATGGCTGAAACAGTGTGGATGGGTCAGCCCCAGAGCACAGCAGCTAAGCACTGGGCAGAGGAATCTGGATCCTAATGGCCAGCTGTGGCCTGAAAAACATAACAGGCATGGGTGCACATGCCCAGGATCCTGACAGGACGGAGAAGTGGAGGGGAGAAAATCAACGTGGTGTGAGCAGGTCCCACTGGGGGTACTTTCTCTTTCTCTCTCACTTGTACACACCTCAGCCAGAACACAAACCAGTATTAATGACAGATTGGCCCTATAATACAGCAGTTAAGCACTGTGTATAGAAAGTTGGATCCCACATGGCCAGCGACAGCTTGAGTCTCTGACTGGTAGCTTGAGAAACATGTCAGTGCTTGTGTGTGTGTGCGCGCCCAGGCTTCTGACAGGGTGAAGAAATAGAGGAACAAGGCTCATGGTACAACCATGCCCCCTTGGGAGGTGCTTTCTCTCTTTACGGCAAGCACACATGTCCTCTGGCAATTACAAAACCCAAAAAAGTATCAATGACAAATTTCCCCCATTCTAAGGTAGCACCAGCTGCTATAATTCTGGCTACCTCCGATTTTAGAGATGCAAAACCATCTGCCTTAAACAAAAGAAATATGGGATTAGTGGACCCACCTAAAGGGCCAACTGTGTCAGGCTCACACCACCTCACCAAACCCTTACAACCACCCTAGAAGACAGACGCTTGACATCATCACCTTTCTCCATGAGGAAACCAAGGCCACCAAGTGAGGGCTGCATGTGTAGAAAGTCCAGGAAAGAACTTGTTCTTCCCTTAACTCCACAGGGTAACCTTGGTAAGAGAGCTAGGAGCTTCCCGTCAGGACATCGGAGGACCCCGGCTCCTTGAACATGGTGTCCCTCTCTCTGCTGAGCCTCGATGTCTTTGTCTGTAAAAAGGGGTCTCACCCCTACCTTGCTGGGCAGTTGTGTGTACGTATTAGGACATGACAAAAAAGCCAGGTCTGCCAGGACCAAGCCACTTCAACCCCCCGAGTAAGCCCAGAGTAGGGTACAATCTCCCTGAGCATCCCTCTTCTCTTGTAAAACGGCGATGGTGACTGGGCTGGGCTTAGAGGAAAATCCTGGATGTATATGAACACTTGGCAAGTTGTCAAGTGCTATAGATATTCATGTAAAACACAGAGAAATTTTCTCCTTTTTGTTGACAATCTGATCTACACAGGCAGGAGAAAAAAACACAGAGGAAATAGAAAAATGTGTTCTTGCTATTTAACCCATTTGGTTCTTAAAAGGAAAAAGGATCACAGAGTTGGGGGTCATGGATGCGGAGGGGTCCTTAGCAGGAGACTTCAAAAGCCACCTCTGTTACCAATTCCAGAGTGGAAGCCCAGGAGGGGAAAGAGATTAGACACAGTAAGTCAGTGACAGAGCTGAGACCAGAACCCTGCAGTACAAAGTGCTTGAATTAATTATTTCTTCCTAAACATATCTAGGTCTTCCAGGCTCCAAAGGTCCCCAAACTCCCCACACCCCTCCTGAACACTCACTGCCAGCAAAGTCGTTCTGCACCAGGCCTCGGTAGCGCTCGTAGTTACATTTCCGCTCATCTGACTCCTGTTCTGGGGAGCTTTGGGGAAGAGTAAGATCTTGAGCTCAGAGGGAAAGGAAGACCCCACCCCAGGCCAGCAGGAAGAGGAATGAAGCCCCTGGCCTGGCTCAAACTCAGGCTCAGGTTGGGAAGGGGAGGCTCCTTGAGTCTCAGCTTCCCAAATGGGAAGATGCTCTGACCTGTCTGTACACCTCCTTCCTAGAAGGTGACAGGTAGGCTGGGGGAAGACAGGAGCTGCTGAGTGGGGCACCCTCCCTCCCTGGCAACCCCCTGGTAAGGCAGCTTACATGGTGGTGAGCAGTGGGGGAGTGTAGTCGGGGATGTGGTCCAGATGGGCACGGACATCGAAGCGGTCAATCATGTTGTTGGTGTCCCCCTGCCAGGGCATCCTGAAGTGGGGAAGAGGGAAACAGGGAAGCAAGCAGCTCAGGGTCCCCAATACCCAGGACACAAAGCACCCATCCCCTGCCACCTCAAGCCAGCAAATGTGGCCCTACTCTCTAAGCATGGCCCTCACCCCTACCCCCAGCTATCAGTTCTTTGTCTGTAAACTCCCCTGAACCCACATTCAGGCTCTTGGGACCTGGAGCAGGCCACCCATCTGGCTGCTCCTAGGAAGACCAGGGACCCATTTCTTACAGCTAAGCAATAGTGAGGGACTTAAACCAGGTCCTAGGGGCTACTGGAAGAGCCCCCATCACCCTAAAATAGCCCTCTTTGGCAACCTACACACTGCTTCTGCTAGGCCTCTGGCCCTGGTCCCACCCACTCCCTTCTAAGTCTACTAGCCACGGTGCTACCTTGGGGCTTCCATCCCAACTCGTGCCTGCTCTCCCTGGCCTGTGCCTGCCACCTTCACATGCAGGTCAAGTTTCATTGAAGATCTCTGAAGGTCTGACCCAATCCAAGTCTGCTCCAGACTTTACACTGCCCCTGGCTCCTCTGACCCCCACTCTCCAATCACTAGACACTATCCTATCCTTCATATTAGTCTTACATGTTAACAGGGCTCTCAGCAGCCAGGGCAACTGCAGAATCCAGGTGCACCTTGCAAGCTCGGCCATGTACCTGCAGGAACTGGGCTGGGTCTTTCTTCTGCAGGGGCAGACAGGATGAAGGCCATCACACAGCGGAACTCCAAACCTGTACCAAACTCCAAACTCCATACCCCACACAAGCTGAGTTGTGAGCTCACCTCTACTGTCAAGAGGGCTATATCTCAGGTGAATTAACCTGCATAGCAAAGGCAGCTCTAATGGGAACCATCCAACCTCTAGAGACAGGGGATTGTTGCCCCCAGATGGCAGCAAGAGGCTCTGAGCTCTGGTCTCCTCTTCTGCACAGCTGGTACTGAGACCTGCCCCTCTAAAATACTGCTCCCCAACATCACCCCTGACCTGAGCCATTCATTCATTCGGCATGGACCTGCCTTAAGGACACCATGACTGCATAAGCACATGAAAAGACGACCAAGGTCATGTCATCAGGGACATACATCCAGAACCATAAGGGACCACTTCATACAAGTTAGGGCAGCTAACACGATAGACGGTAATAAGTATTGAAAAGAAAAATTAAGATTTTTCAGAAAGTTAAATAAATCAAGAATTATCACAAGAGGGCTAGCTCAAGGCACAGCAGTTAAAACGTTTAGACCTCACATTGCAAACTGTGCAGTTCAAGGCCTGGACGTGGCGGCCTGAAAAACACACTGAGCACATGTGTGCACCCAAAATCCCAAGAGGAGGGAGAAATGGAAAAGCAAGGACTGTGGCACAACCACTCCCAATGAGGAGGAGGGTAGTCTTTCTCTTTTTCTGGTGAGTGCACATACCCTCTGGCAAAGTTTTAAAAAAATGATCACTGCTAGGTATATACCTGCAAGAGTGAAAAAAAAAAAAAAAAAGACTTTGTACACTGATGTTCTTAACGGCATAGTTCACAACACCCAGAAGGTGAGAAATGCACGGAGCATGTCCATGCGTGTGGTGGAATATCATTCAGCACTAGAAAGGAATGAAGAACGGACACCAGCTGCATATGGATGAACTTCAAATACATCACACTAAGTGAATGAAGCCTGTCACAAAAGGCCACACAGAGCGTAAATCATTCATACCAAATGTCCAGAACAGGCAAGTCCACAAAGACAGCGGTAGATCACTTCCTGCCTGGGGCTGAAGAGTCAAGGGGAAAGGGAGTTGACTGTTAATGGGTACAGAGTTTCTTTTTGGAGTGATGAAAAATTTCTAAAATTTTCTTTGGGTGACTGATGGCTGCCCAGACCATACCACACTGGACACTTTAAATAAGTGAATTGTGTAGTATGACAATACTATCTCCATAAATTTGTTTTTTAGAAATAACCTGCAAGGCCAGCCAGGTGGCATAGTGGCTAAGACAGCTGGATCCCACATGACTGCCTGCACAGCTGAGTCTCTGACCTGGCAGTTTGAAAAACACTCCGGCGTTGGGACCAGCAGTTAACGTAATGGCTATGTCGCTGGACTTGGTTTGAGATCCAGACCAAGCGGCTTAAAACTCACACCGGGCGCGTGTGCGTGCGTGCCCAAGGTCCCCAGAGGAGAATGGAGGAGAAGGGATTGCGGCGTGGCCATCCGCCCTGGGGGGCGATTTCTTGCTTTCTGTCTCTCTGTCTCTCTCTGTCTGTCTGGTGAGCGCACGCACCCTATAGTGAAAAACTCTCCAAAAGAAAAAGAAAAACACTCCGACGTGTGTGTGCATGCTCAAAATTCCAAGGCGAGAATGGAGAAGGGAATGTGGCATGGTCATCTCCCTAGAGGGTACTTTCCTTCTGTCTCTCTGTCTCTCTCTCTCTCCAGCAAATCATAATAAACAAAATTTAAAATAACCTATAAGAGACCAAGGAGGGTAAAAATGTTCCCTAAGCCTATGACCTCAGGCCCGAGCCCTTGTGCAGGGTATGGGGGCATTACTGAAGTGTCATAAAGGAAAACAACCAGCAGATGCAGCTCCCATTGCTGACTGTCCTGAGAGCCAGCCCTGGCACAGCTGCAGCTGGAAGCCCCATCACAGGCATCCACAAGTACCACGCAGGGGCTGCTGTGCTTTCCATTGAATCGAATCTGACCCCCTCACCAACCCAACTAGCACATCTCCTTGCCTGCCTGGACCACACAGCCCTCCTGGGCTCTGCAGCTAGAGGCGGGAGTGCAGGGGAGGGAACTGGGGGTAAGGGGTGTTCTGCCAAAGCCCTCTCTAACTCCAGCCCCTCCCTCCACTCAGCTCCAAGCCTCCATCTCCACGCCAGGCCCCAAACATTCCAAGCACAACCCCTGGCCCCCTCAGGACCTTTACACCTGCTGTCACCTCCTGGGAATTCTCCTGAGCTCTGCTGCTCCCTCACTTATTTTAGATTTCCTGGAGGCCTCCCCCTAGCGGCCTTACAGCCTTAAATGTACTGTGTCCCTTAACTGCACGTGCTTTCTTCAGCGCCTACCTGCTGTGATACCTTATCTTCACTGCGCCTAGCTCTACCTGCTGTTATACCTTATCTTCATTCATCACCTGAACCCCCATCCCTCCACCAAGAACACAACTCTCAGGGGCAGGGGGCTGTTTTGTTGGTTGTATCTCCAGGGCCTAGAATAGGACCTGACTGTAACACTGAATGAAACCTCTCCAACAGAAGGAACCAAGGCCTGACAGGAAGATCCTGTAGCTCCCAGAGTCCAAGGTCCTGCACTGACTCACTCCTGCCCCCACTTCCTGCCCAGCCCTTGCAGCAGAGCAGGTACAGAGGGGCTGAAGACATTCAGTAATGACTACGGCTATGGGCGATGGCCGGGTCAGGTGCCAGGCTGCTACCAGCCTCACTTCACACCTGAACAAACACCTACAAGCCACAGGGTCCCAGCTCTTTCTCCTGTGCCTCACCTGCCTCTCTCAACTCCATCTAGAGGAGCAAACACAGTCCTCCAGCTCCGCAGCCTCATGACAGCCCCAGGCAAGCCGAGGGCCAAAGTCATCATCATTTTCCTGAGGCAGCCCTAGGCCAAAGCATCCAAAACTCACGGGCACTGTTTGCAGGAACCTGAAGCCACTGACAGGGTTTGCATCGGGCTAGGGGTAAAAACCCAGAGTCTGTCCCTGTTCGTGGGAGAGTCTAGAAAAATCAACAAACTCCACTAAAAGTCAGGAGCTAAGTGTTTCACATACATTTTCTTATTCATACTTCCCAACTAAGGGAGAAAGGTACTTTTTTTTTTTTTTAAAAAAAGAGTTTTGCCATAGAGTGCATGTGCTTGCCAGAGAGAAATAGACAGTAAGACGGAAAGTGAGGAATCACTTTCTCATTCTCCCTCTCTATGTAGGGAGTTGCAATACCTACTCCATTCTCCTCCTGGGATTCTGGGCACACACGCATGTGCCCAGTGTGAGTTTCAAGCCCCCAGGTCCAGGACTTGAACCTGATTGCCGTATGGGAGTTCAGCGTCTTAACTACCACGCTGCCTGCTGGCCCCAAAATGTACTATCCTTATCCCATGTTCCACACAAAGAAACAGAGGTCTCAGCAGTGAGGCCCACTTGACTAAGATCGCATCAGGTCATAATCAGAAGTGAGAGCTGAACCTAGTTAAGTCTGATTCCAAAATTTCTCCTCTCGGGATTTTGGGCATGAGCAGTGTGCCTGGCATGATCTTCAAGTCTCCAGGTCCAAATTAAGGAATAATTTATTGGGACCAACAGGTGGTGTAGTGGTTAAAGTGCTGGACTCTCCCATGTGGCCAACCATAGTTCAAGTTCCGGACCTGGTGGCTTGCTTTCTCACTTTCCCTCTCTCACTTTCTGTATGTCTCTCTCTGGTTAAATTAAAATAAATGAATGAATAAATGAAATTAAATAAGTAATTCTTTTATTTTTTTGGAGAGGTTTTTGCTATAGGGCGCATGCACTCGCCAGGCAGAGAGACAGAGAGACAGATAGAGAGAAATCATCCCCCAGTTGGCGCCGCCGCAATCCCGTCTCCTCCATTCTCCTCTCGGGATCATGGGCACGCACACACACGCGCCCGGCGTGAGTTTTAAGCCACCGGGTCCGGGACGTGAACCACGGTCAACTACATGGGAGTCCAGCAACAGTCATTACACTAACTGCTGGTCCCACAGATGACAGAATCTTTTTTAAGGCTAAATACTATTCCACTGGAACTATTCCATATACTGAATTTTCTTTACCTGTTCAGCCACTGATGGGCATTAGAATGCTTCTTGACTGTGACTAATGCTGCAGTGAACATGAGTATTAAATATCTCTTTGGGTGATGAGTCTAGTGGTTAAGGGAACTCGATCCCATGCAGCTGACCACAGTTCAAATCCCACCCCCCGTAGCTTGAAAAACATGCCAGTGTGCATGCCCCAAATCTCAATGGGATGAAGAAATGGAGAAGAGTGAGGCTGACTGGTGGTGTAGCGGTTAAAGGCACTGGATTCCCACATGGCTGACTGTGGTTCAAGTCCTGGACTTGGTGGCTTGTCTTCTCACTTTCCCTCTCTCTGGTCAATTTAAAAAATAGTAACAGACCAGCAGATGGCATAATGGTTACATCAATAGATTCCCACATAGTTGACCTCGGTTCGAGTTCCTGGTCTGGTGGCTTAAAACTCATGCTGGGTGCCTGTACATGCATGCACAAAATCCCTAGAGAAGAATGGAGGAGAAGGGATTGCTGTGCAGCCATCTGCCCTGGGGGATGAATTCTCGTTTTTTGCCTCGTGCACATGCCCAATAGTAAACATCTCTATAAATAAAGTTAAATAATAATAAATATATATATAAAGGAAGAAATGGAAAAGGGATTGTGGCATGACTGTGCTCCATTGGGGATTGTTTTTTCCTTCTCCCTGGTAAGAACATACACACTCTGGCAATTTAAAAATAAATAAATAATCTCTTCATGGGCCAGCAGGTGGTATGGTGGTTAAGGCAATAGGCTCCCAGAGGGTCGACCATGGTTCAAGTCCTGTACCTAGTGGCTTAAAAATCACCATGATGTCTATGTGTGCATGCCCAAAACTCCAGGAGGAGAATGGAGGCAAAGGGAGTGTGGCAT